GACCCATTTCAATCACTCTATATCCTCAAGGAATTGTTCACTTTCTGCTAATGGAAAACTGTGCATCAGAATGCCAAAGAAATTTCACACATAAATGGAAAAAAATAACAGAAAATCAGAATTCAATATGTATACAGGAGAAAAGTATGAAAAATATTCTAAATTCCGTTTTGGCTGCATTGTGGAGCTATTTTCCCCAGTTGGGTCAAAATTTAATAAACAAAAACCGAAAATGCCCTCAGAGTAGGTTTTTCCACACACACACTAATCGATTTATCCTTGAAGAGGCTGTGTGGCATCATTCAATTTCTCGAGTTGGATCGAAAAATTGAATCCAACTGCATAAACATTTGTGTCCCTCGAGTGAAATTGAAGGAAATATAGGAAGAATCGGTCGACAGGCGTCTAATCAAATGGAAGGCACTGGAGGGCAGATGGTTATTTTCTAAGCCGTTGAGCTCTCAAGTGGCCTAGCCCTCCTCCTCATCTTCCTATTCCTGCTCCTGCTCCTGCTCCTTCTCATCTCACCAAATACACTGTGGCCAATTGACTTTTGTTCTCTCCGCCGGGCAACTTAATATTCATGATTTATTTGCCATTCTTATTTGAGCAGGACATCAAGTGGGAGCAGGAGCAGGACCCTGGCTACTTCGCTCCCTTTTAATTTCCTTTTTGGCTGTGTAATAATAATTTAAATACATTTAATGCTATGTACTCAACCTGCCTCGGTTCCATGGTTTTCCTTGCCCTCATAAAATAATTTGTCATTAATCATTTCTGTGGCCAGGACAGGCAGTTGAGTGCTGTTCTTTTTGCCTTCCTTTCCATTTTTTTCCATCATAATTTTGGTTTTCTTCGTATTCTTAATGCATTTTAAATCGCGAGCATTGACCAATTGTCAACTGGCGAATTAATGAACGTCTCTGTGATTTATGAATATTCTCTGATGGCCTTTAAGACACTTTCTTCGGTCGGCTCTTCCTGGTTTTGGCCTGTTTGGTATTCATTTTGACTCATCCACCTCATTAATCAAGTGAGAACAAAAAACAATTTTGAGATTTTTGAAATATTGTATACAAAATTTTTTTTGTTTATTTTCTACCAGAGATTTTATTGGAATAAGCGTTGAGCAAAATTGAGTTATGATATGATTAAACTAGTTTATAGTAGTATACTAGTTTAATGCAAACATTTGCAGGCTTTCACATTTCTTAAATCTCTTTTTCTCAATTTTCTGGTCTAAACACTCAAGAATTTTGAGCACAAAGACCAAAAATTATAATTGCCTCCTTTTTGCGTAGTCAAACCTCAAGTAAATAAAAGCTAACAAAATAGCTGGCATTTTTTGGGGAGGTCTCTTTAAAATACTAAAGCAACCAGCAAAATTTTCCGAATGCCACAATCCGAAATACGCAATAAAACTAAATGAGCGTGTATATATGTATGTATATGTATGACCAGAAAGAGCATACTCTGGTATTCTTGCAAATCCTGAGCAAATAAACCAAGGATGCCAACAAAGCAAATATTAACAATGCCAATAAAAGGAGGCGGTAAGAGGGACGGAACGGGGAGCGAGGAGAGAGTAATCCTCGAAATAAGTAATCATTATGACCATCAGTAAACAATGTACAGGCAGCCTCAGAGAGCTATGTAAAAAATGCAATGGGACTATCAAAATAACAATAACCCCAAGGACAACTCGGCTGAGATATGGTCATGACAACCCCCAGCTCTAGGATCTGTGTATTAGTCCGGGAAACTACTGCCCGGACATGGAAGTGCGTGACCAGAGGATATTTCGGTGTGCCACTAAAGATGGCATCGTGATGGGATTGTGGTAGAGTCCGACATCCAAGGTAAATACATATTTATTGTAATTGCAAGAGATTAGCTGAAACGATTCCACAATCAGTTAGTTTTTGTTGTCCTAAATGGCTGAGAAACTCCAATGATTCGGATGAGAGGATAGAATGCAACAGGAAACCGTAATAAAATAATGATAATGTTTAGAAAGGCTTAAATTAAATTGGTAAATGAGAAAATATATTCTTATATTCTTAAAATTCACTAAGATCCTTATTTTCGATTTCTAATTTTATCAAATCCACCTTGTCTCCCTTCACTAATCCTATGTATGTTCATCTCTCTTGGGAAGCAAACAATTCCAGGATATGGCCACAAAACAAGGATAATCACTGACAGATTTAATGGCATTTTTATGTTGAACTAAAGGATTTTAATTGCCGATGTGGTCGTGTGGGTGTGGAAGACAGGTGAATCACAAATTAGACGAGAATTAACACCAGCTCCCGGTGGCGTCGGCGGCGAGTGACAAGTTGGGAAATTGATGATGGCTTTGGGCATTCAAGTCAAGCCAAGTTAATTACTTTTGTGTATCCTTAAGTCCTGTTGCCTTTGATTTAATTCATGATTGTTCTCGGCCCTACGTCCTGCTCAGGTGAAAGGCGATTTTCTTAGGGATTTCGAAATTCATGTGTGAGCGAGGTTAATTCTATGCATTCTTCTGAGGCAACCATCGCTGCAGATGTAATTAGTGCCGACGTTTGTGTTCCCCTTTGTGTGCCAGCAGACATACATACGTACATAAATCATAGTTGTGGTTGATCCTCAAACATCTGCATAATTACACTTCCAGTTCGTGTTTGCTGCAATGCCATTTGCGTATGAGTCTGAGTATGAGTCTGTGTACGAATTCTGTTTTCCTCACCATTTTATTAAACAGAATTCTGGCTTGCCAACACGCCACATTCGTATATGCATGCCGCAGCCAGTTTTCGAGTTTTTCGCTATTCCGCTTTTCCGCTTTTCCCCCGTCTGCGGCAGCTGCAGACAGCCAACTATTAAAGGCCACTTCAAAACGAAACCGCCGGCGGTCTGTCTGACTATCCGTTGTGGCTTCCCTCTCTCTCTGTTTGACTTCGTCCTTCCAATCCTGCGGAGTGCTTAAAATTTCAGCTACGTGCGCGATCTACGTGTGTGCCACACCTGCCTCAGAGACAATGGCCAACTAGAATCTAGAGGAGATAGGAGAGGGGGAACAGAAGAAACACGCGGAGAATCCAATGTAATTTAATGTTTCATTTCTACACATTTGGCCGCCTTGGCGTATACGTTATATCGCTCGACACACGTTGCCCGGGACACACGCGATGGCAACGTGACGCGCTCTCATAACCCGGGTAACGAGTTTTATATTCTGATGAATAGAGATGGCAGCGTGATCGGGGGAGTATAACTTAATTAGAAATATTTTAATTTATGTTTAAATAAATTTCTTCAGAAGTATATGTAAATATTTTGGCTATTAAAGCTGTGAGTGTCTTTGTATAATCATTATACTGAAGGATATTTATGCCCGGTTTTACTTTTATAATAAATAATTATATAAAGGTTGCAGTTTTTCAAAGATCTATTATCTTAATTCTTCATATTTTAAATACGATATATTATATTCTCCTACCCTCTTTATTATAAACCCTTTCAAGTAAAAATAATAATAATTAAAACTCTGGTAAAGATTTAACAAAAAGAGTGGTAAAAAATATGTATAACAGAGATAAATCTCTAAAGAAAAAGTCCCTGATTTATTTTCCAACTTTTAAGGCCAACTGTAATCACGCCTTCAGCACTGATCCGAACTCCGGGTTGTGGCCAAGTGAGGTTAGAGGTTCGAGGCCAGAGGCCAAGTTAAAGTTTTGTCCTCGTCGCCTTCATCAAGTGTTCCTACACGCCCAGCGCAATTACGGTAATTAGTGTTACGTTTCCACTGCTTTTAGCCCTGTTGCTTGCCCCATTGTTGCCACATACAGCCAGTCAGGCAGTTGCCTTTTGCTGAATATTTTTTATATAAGGATTTTGCTGCTGCTCATTGTTTGGTGTGCGGCTCACATGCAAAAGCTACTTTCATGTTTGCCATGGTGAGCAAATCAAACCTTGGAAAGCCAAAAATGCCAACGCAATCAGACATTTCGCTTTATTTTATTTCATTTCATTTCATTTGATATTATTTCAGTCATTTTTCGTGTCGTCGCGTGTTTCCCAATATAATATATCTGTTGCTGCTTTTGCTGATGTTGATTCAAGTCGCGACATCAAATCAGAGTCAAAATGCAAAACAGCCAACAAGGGTTGTGCTCCCCTCGTTTGTGTGTGTTGTTTAAATTTGCAAAAATCAAATACTTCAGCTTCGAATTGGAATATTTAATTAGTTGATTTATTGGGCGATTGCATGTGTTTGTTGTTTTGGCCTGGCCTTGTTTTTCCCTCGTGGCAAAATCGTTATTCGCGTTTTTCCCAAGAATTTCTTTGATTGCTGCCTGCGACTGACGAAGAATTCAAATGTACAGCGCTTGGGGGCTTTGGCTTTAATAAGCCAGACTCATACCCTTTGGACTTTGATTACTGGATTTTATTTAAATTTTTATAATTAACTTTTTAAGCGAATGTAATTGCAACCGATTATTTTGCAACGTTTATATAAAACTCTACGAGTGGGATAATAAGAATGCATAGCCACAAGAACCCTGGAACCAGATGTGGTGGTGTTATGCAGCTGCACACAGAGATCTAGTCTGTTGTAATCGCAGTTGTTGGCTTTGTTGTCGCTGTTTATGCATATTTAACACCCTTGAGCTATTATTGTGCGATTAAGTGGAAGAATTTAGCCGAGCTACGCATTGTCATTGCAGCTGAAGTTGTTGGGGGTCGCCGCGCACCAAAGTATGCTATGTAAAATTATTACAGTGGGCCAAAAAGCTTGCAGTCTCTCAAATATATCGATATTTTCCCTTACTGATAAAAGATATTTCCAAATACCCAAAGTGGTCATACTCTTTTTAATATTAATTAATAAGAAATCAAAATTTCAGAATGTCAAACATTTATTTTATTAACCGTCTGTAGAGCTCAGCGAATAAACAAATCCACGGAGAACCTTTATTCGAATGATTAACCATTTGCCTCTGCCACTACCTCACCTATGATTTGTGCCAACTGAAGACCACATGTGCGATCAACAGGTAGGCCGTGACGATCAAAAGTGTGATGATCGTCAACGGAAGGCCGTAACGGGAGAACTGCAGAAAGGTGAGACGATAGCCATATTGCCTGGCAATGGCTGCTCCAACTATATTGGCAGTCGAGCCGAAAAGGGTTCCATTTGCACCGTAGCAGGCTCCGTAGGTCAATGACCAGACGAGTGGTGAGAGCGAGACTTTGATCTTCTTGTTATTCGCCAAATCGAGGATCAGCTTGAGCATCATCGTGGTCACCGGTACATTACCCACAATGGAAGCCAGAATGGCCGTTATCCAAAGGATAAGGATAATGGCCACCAACGTATGATGGCGCTCGTTCACGCTGACAATCACTGATACCGTCTGGTCGCTCAACCAATGAATTAGGCCCAGCCGGTCCACAATCTCGACGAGAATGAATAGGGCGGCTAGAAAGATCAAAGCAGCCCACTCAACGTGAATGAGCACCGACCTGATGTCCTTCCTTCTGGCCAGGATGATCAGCAGAATGGCGCCCAGGATGGACACCCAGCCAAGTGTACCGCCCGACATGAAGGGCAGGGGATGCAACAGGAATCCCAACACTGTTATGGTCAACACAATCAGGCACTTCACCAGTAGCGGCGTATCTTGGATGCCGTAATGGGTTTCCAAAAACGCCAGAGTCTCAAAGTAATTCCCCGCCGGCCTGATGCGCGCCTTCCTCGGCATGTAACTATTCCGTATCATAGTTGCTCGCTCCGCTACCTCAGCGGTCAGCCGGCGGCGACTCGCCTCCCGGTAGGCCGAAGCCCGAATCTGCTCGTGAGTCAGCCTGAACATCTTATTTCGCATGGTCAGATAGAAGAAGGGAGCGGCTACTAACATCGAGCATATCACACCTGGCAACATGTGCATCACAAAGACGGGAAAGTTGATGCCGGACTTCACTACCTCCTCGTTGGTGGATATAATCACATTTGGCGGATCTCCGACCGGAGTCAAAGCTCCACCGAGATTCGAGTACATTACTACCACGAGCAGGACCAGTGGTGTCTGAACCTTAACCGCCTCGCACAGTCGGATTGCGATGGGGCCCATCAGAAGCAGCATTGTCACATTGTCCAGGATACAGGACATAATGGCCGTGATTATACCCAGAAGGTAGACCAGCGGCCACGAATGCCCCTTCGAAATGCGGTAGGCCAGTATGGCCAGCCAGTCGAAGACCCCCGTCTCGGACATTATGCCCACAATTATCATCATGCCGATCAGCAGGGTCAGGGTCTCGATGTCCACCCACGACATGATCGTGGACAGAGATGGCCGATTTCCCAACGCCGTAATTATCGCGAGCCCAGTGTTTGCCATCAGAAGGGCGGCGAATGTGTGATCAGTTAGCTCCAGGGCGATAAGGACATAAAAGCCCACAAGCAAAAGGGCGGCATAAAGGAGAGCATAGCTGGTAACAATGGGCTTGAAATCGGTTACCATGACCAGGGAAATCGGGCTATCGCTTTTGCTTTCCAAGAACACCACCAAATCGACTTCATTCCGATCTTTGTCCGACATCCTGAAGATTTTGGAGGACTCGCCATACCCATCTGGATCTTTCAGCAGATACACATTCCATATGTCCGAGCTGTGAATGGTCTGGTTCGTGCTCGAGTCCCGCCACTCCACACGGACGTCAATCGTTGGCACATTCTCCCTACTCTTCCCCTCATCGATGGCTCCCTGCAGAGTGATCTTGACGGCATCGTTACTTTCGACCATGTACTGCTCCAAGATCTCTTTTGGCATCACGGTCACCACTGAGGTATCAAGCTCCTTGGGTGCCCATCGAAAAAGGATAACTGTGAAGAAGCCCCATATCGACAGCAGGAAGATTATCTTCATGATGGTAAGAGCGAATCTCCATCTTGGAACTGGTTTTTCTTCCCCTTCATAATCATCGTGGTGTCCAGCATCGGCTGCCTTGTATAACCCAATATTTCGTATTCTTCCGGCAAAACTCCACAATGGCCATGACACCGAAATTTGGGGTAATAAATTTAGATTTGTAACTGCAAAAAAATTACTCAAAAATTTCATTTTGAAGAGTAAGTGTGAATGGAAGTGTATGGAATAAACTTATATATTTGTTTGTTACTAAAAGCCCTGGTAAAGTGTTTCATATGTGGGTTGTGTGTTTTTTTGAATATACTGAAAAGTATCTGAAAGAATAATTGTATACTTATAGATTTAAAAAAGGTTAATCGTTGTACCTTTTAAGAAATATTAAATCTATTCTATAAACTTAAGAAGTAACAGACATATAAACTAAATACATAAATATTTAAATTATATTAATTTTTAACTTTCTTTTTTAGTAAAAGTTTCTCACAAGTCTTAGATATTTTAACCTGCATTTGTTAACCTTAAAGTTCATAAACATTCATTAATAATGAATTTATGCACAAGATTTTTCATGGTATTTTGTTGCACAATGTTCCCACAGTGCTTTGTGTACTTTGAGCAGAAGTTAAGTGCCGCTTGAGCCTTTTTAAATATAGAGAATCCCCCCATATATATAAGGATGCACTGAATACACACTTCCATAACTGCAGCCATAATACGCACCATTGCCGAGCATTGGCCCTCCCCCGTGTCCTTTCTCTGCCGCCCCAAAAGGACCATTGTCAACTGACAATGCCGCTGGCAGATGTGTTGATAGTTCCAAGGAGTGCCGGGCAAGGGGAGGCGTTACTCCAGGACATGGGGGAATGACTATGGGACTGGGGCTGCTGTTGGGTCTGTTGCCAGTTGAAGGCAAATATTAATAGCGCAAATTTTCTGCCGCACAACAAGGCTGAGAATATGTGTGCCAGGGCTAAAAGGGGGGGACTCCCTGTGGTGGGAAAGCTTTCACTTGTTTTACCATTTTAAATGCATGAAACGCATAATTTTTCCTTGCTGCTCAGTGTATTTATTTCGCTTTGCCCCCGTTTGTTGCATACAAATCAAATTTATTTGCCATTTTGTTTACATTCGCTCTTACACACTATGTATGTAGCTCTGGCAGCGGTCGGCCTGTTTGTGTTTTTAATTTGAGTGCAGCAAACATTTTCAATTGATTTGGTTTCTCGATGTTTTGGTTTTTTTCTCTACTCTTTTTTTGTAGTCTACATGCAACGCGAAGAGTACCAATATTTGCTTTATCTCTGGGGAGTGAGAACTCTATTAAATTGATTCGTGTTGTAATGGAATTGGGATTGGAATTTGGGGTAGGCGGGGGCTTGTTGTCTTAGCCATTAATTGAAAACTGCTGATTGAATAATGAATGCATGGGCAGGTTTGGATTAATGTAAATAAACAATGTCACTTGAAACAACAAACACATCGGTTGCAAGTTGTATATCGATTGATTTCGCTTCATTTCCAAGGGTAAATCAGCCGGAAATAAAATCTTGTTAAATAATGTGTGCACTCCCTACCCTCTTCAGTTTCTTGTATGTGTTTTTATTATTTCTTAGACTGAATAACATGCAAAATGAGCTTAATTATCGCTGACCAGGCTGGTCATAATAAAACTGAGTGCCGAGTTGTCCTCAAGTTTAATTAGAAAGACAAGCGGTTGCCATAGTCAACATATGGAAATGAAATGCAAGTGCCACCAAAGAAATGGTGGCTGACTTTATTAAAAGTCTTGCAATGGCTATGAATTCCATATGATGTCAAAGACATATTTCTGGCAGTTGTGAATGAGTCACTTTAAAAATTAATTAAAATGTTTCAGGACAAGGAAATATTAACAAAAAATATTGAGTAAAGGATATATTCTTAGGTTTTATTTGTTGTATTTTTTCCATAAATTTTGTAATTTTATATTTTACTTAAATACTAAGTATTTTACTTTTGTTTCAAGTGTAATAGTCCTACTTCGCTTCATTTAATATCTGTACAGAGAAAGGCAATCAAATGGAAACACTGAGCCGCACCTTGTCTTGACCTATGTATGTATGTGGCGGTGGTCTGATTAAATTTCGGCTACCCAAAGCGATAATTATGACACCTTAACACCCTCTCATTTCCCAAAAACGTACACACACTTCCTTATTAGAGTGGACCATACTTAATTTTGATCAGTGAATGCTTTAAAATATTAAAACCAAACAATTGATAATTTAAACAGGCTCACAGGTCGTATGTGTAATTTATGCTTGAGTTTTCAAGGTATAATCTTGAGTTAAGCTTTAGTTTAATAACAATAAACTAATAATAAAAAGTATAATAATTATACAATAATAAAACAGTAATATTATTGAGGTTGAAAAGAATGCTCTAACCGGCTAACAGGTCGTATGAGTAATTTATACATAAGTTTTCTTTGTATTTTACTGAGTTAATTGACAGTTTAAAAATAATAAATCAATAGTAAAAGTATAAAAATAATATATAATTATTCCAGTAATTTTAAAAAAGTTTTATAGAAACCCCTACACAGCTAACATGTCGTATGAGTAATTTATCATATCCATGATATTGCACTGAGCTATTGATCTTCAGTTTAAAACAAACATAAAAACAAATATAGTACTCATATAAGTAATAATATTATTTACTGATAATATGTAGTAATATTAATAATGTTATATTGATAATAATGCCGGGCAAACATGTCGTATGAGTAATTTTTTGCATTGCTCTAAGGTCCACTCTACCGGTCATTCTCAAAGGACCCTGGCTAAGCTGAGCTAAGCAAAGCTAAGTACAGGGTGGGGTCCTTTGAAATATTGCACAATCAGCGCATTAAATAATTAAGTGCTTAATTAAATAGGGAGCAGGGAGCAGGTCGCTGCGATCCAGAGGTAAGCAATAAATTTTTCCATTGTATTACACTCTGTGGTCAGACTGTGCATACAAATCGTGGGGTTTGGCTTGGCTTTGGATTCTGGTTGTGGGTTGGATGTGAGCGAAAGAGTTATTTGTCTTCATTTATCTATGCCCATCACGTGCCACGCCAAAATTCGTAATGAAAACTAAATGAGAGCAGAGACCGCATAGCTTGACTTGGCCTGTTGCATGCTGGGCATAATTAACTATTCGATTACGAGAGCAATTGTTGCAATTATTTGTTACTCAGTTGATTGGGTTAGTGTATAGGCCAGCGGATTTACTTTAATGAGTGTGAAGGGTACATTGTCCAACATTTTGGGTATTTTTATGTTAAAGAAAATTAAGCTCGACATTATTATCAGTTCAACATTTATAATAATAATACTAATATTACAATGTTATTTTTAAACTGAAGGCTTACAAACTTAAATATAAATTACTCACAAGATCTGTTAACTGGCTAAATGTATCTATAAACCATAATAATATTACTGTTTTATTAGTATAGAAATATTATACTTTTATTACTAATTACACGTATTTTATTCATATAAAAAATGCATAGAAAATTTAACACATATTTTTGTATTTTTTTGTATGTAGAAATTTGATTGATTTGAAAGACTTTTGACTATATAATTGTTATATTTTAGCTTTAAAGATGAACTTAATGTTGCTAATGCTTTAGAAAAGTTTTAAATTCTCATAAAGAGATATCAGATTCCTAATGAATCCATTAACAATCATTAGCCAAAGAACACTCCCATTGCGAATAACTTGGGCAAGCCTTTAGCACATTTACTTCAATTAGTGAGGAGCTTGCTTTTCGCCCGCTTTTCCGCTTTTCCGCTTTTCCCCATCCCCTTCCCTCCCTCCTCCGCTTCCAAACCAGCAGACAACCTAAAACAAGGCTCGCCAGATACAGTTATGTATGCTGTGTAATTACACAAATGCATTTATGTTTCATACTAAACAAGATACAATGCGCAGACGTTTTGTATTTGTGTAGCCATTCAGACGCATACAAAAGCAACAAAGGAATACGGGGTTGAGATACAAATAGGGGAAGCGAGTGTTTTGGGGAAATAGAATAAAAGAGGAAGCAGGGACAAGGGACAAGGGGCAAGGGACAGGGGTTAAAGGGTAAAAGTAAAAGTAGAAAAGTAAATGCATGCTGCACATGCAGAAAAATTACAAACAAATATATGTGTATGCCAGCATTTTAGCAGTTTAAGAGGCATTCAAGCAGGAGGTGTTTCTTGAGAATGGGCTTAAGGATACCCTGTATACATTTTAAAATTTTAAATGAAATGGAAGAGAATTTGATGTTAAATATGCATATTTACTTTAAAAGTACTTAGAGAAACACTCTCAATCTCTAATGATTAATATAAATTGTAGTATATAAAGCAGACCCTAGTTTAGAAATCAAACTTGATTTACTCATATTTATTGAGTCTTATTACCTTCAAATTTCTTTCTTAATATCTTAAGACAAATTTATTTAGTTTTGTTTGTATAGAATTTGATCAAACTGATAATGATCACTTTTTGTAAAGCCCTGTATCTTCAGATATCTATTTCCCTATCCCACATCCAAAGTTTTATTCCCTGAATAAACATATTTTCTCAACCATCCCAGACCCGTATATCCCATTCAGAGACAAAGAAAAATAATAGGTAGCCGGTGTACAAACATAATCAGTGGCATTTTCATTCTGCTGCATCAGCACAAAGCGAGCTCCAGCTCAGACTTAATTAAAATTTCATTGTGTGGCCCGCTTTGACTGTTCTTGTTTTTTTTTGTTGTTGTCTAAATCCCATTCAGATTTTACCCTTCGCTAGCTGGGCGCCATTGTTTTATCGGCCCAAATGCGTTTTAACGTGGCCCACAGGGCGAGGCTATGTGCGTGCGATATTGTCGGCTGGCGGCACACTTGAGACGTCGCTGACAAAAGTCAAGCTGTGTTAACCTTGTGCATTTGTGCATTTGGGGCTCAGGCTTTCGCTCTCTCTTTAGA